TGATAAAGCATAATGGGAAGAGATGTCAGAAATGTTAACCTACAAGAAATTCCATGGAGAAGGATGTTATTTTTCTCCTCCCAAATTCTTGGCAGGTTCTTATCAAAAACTTGTATGTTTAGAAGGAAATAATTTACAATTAGCAGAAATAACATTTAGAAAGCAATTCCAAGGATGTCTACCTAGAACAGTATGTTGCTTCAACTGGAGATTTTCAATAAGAAAATAAAGTTGTGGTTTTTTTTAGATTGCATAGATTTTGAATCAACCCTGGAACAAGTCTAATCCATTTGTATTCAGATAAATGGTCATTTTAACATTACAAACAATAAGCTATTAACAATTTGCAGATCAAGGTACTTTATACAGAGGAAAATGTTGAATCACCTTGATTTTATTGTGAAGCTATTGACCACATTTCCTAAATCAAAATATTCTTTTTAAAATATTGACTATATAGAATCATAAGATCATAGGCCTGGAGTGGGTCTTGAATCTAGCACAAACTCCTGCTCAAGCAAGAGTTCTTTCCTCCAGCGATGGAGCACCCATAATTCCAGAAGGCAGACTGTTTCATTGGTTAAACATTCTTCATAACCTGTTTCCAACATCCCAAAATCTGTTTATCTGTCTCCCTCAAGTACACATAGAAGTTGAGATGGAACTATTAGAAAACATCTGTTAGTAGACTCCCTCCTCAGGCCCTTTCAAGTAAACTACACATAAGAAAAAGCTGTGTTGCTCCAAAATGAATTAATTGCTGCTTGGAATCTTTTTTAAAGTTTAAAGAATGAAAAGACAAACTCCTTTCTAAGGATATTAATATCAGGTGAGACTGGACACTTTGGACTCTAAATGAAGATAAGAGAATAACAGGTGAAAAATGTGCTATATTTCTGCTATGTGGGAAGGTTATCTTATTCATTGTGCTATGAATTAGATGTCCTGGTTAGAAAGAAAAGAATATAAGCATGGTAGCCAGAGTGATTCCTTGGGTTACAAAAGTGTTTCTCAATCAATCCTTCACATATTCCTGCTAGAACACAGAAATCTAGATGGAACAAAAGCTCAGTAATATTATTCCAACATTCCTAGTTGGGCATGTTGAAGAATGGTCTTGCAGCCATTCCACCTTAGAGGGATCTTACTTCTTGTTCCTCCTCTACTCATTTGAGTGACTTCAACCACCTGCAAAGAAAAGCTCTCTACCTCAGTATTTGTATCTGTTGCTTTCATTGTTTTTGCAAAGAGATGATGGTTAAATCAGACTTTCCTCTCCATGCTATTGGGGATATCCTTTTCTTTCTGCCTACTCTGCTTTCACAGTGTCTTTTTACCCTCTTTCTTTTTGCAGCAGCTTCTATAAGAAATGATTTCCTTCTGCACTTTCTCCTGTTGCTCTTCTTGCTTCTCAAACTCTTTTGCAAAACAGCAAATGTCTCTCAGATTCTCTGCTGTGTTCTGTCAGCTTTTTGTCAGTCTCAGCTTTTGACTTTGCCTTCAAGCAAAGAACAGGAACTCTTTTATTTATTAGTTTTATATTCTGCCTTTCATCCAGAAGCTGGAGATGGCATAGATAGCACTCATTCCTCTTTCCCCCAATCTGAGATAGGTTGATCTAAAATAGTGTTTCTCAATTTAGCAACTTTAGTTTTTGTGGACTTCAGTTCCCAGAATTCTCCAACCAACATGCTGAGAGCTGAAATCCACACATCTTCAGGTTGCTAAGATTGAGAAACTCTAAGACAGAATGAGTGGCCTGAAGTCAGCCAAAGTTTTCATGGCTTAGGATGGATTGGAAACCTGGATCTCCATTCCTAGTCCAACACTTTATTGATGCACCAAGCTGGCTCTGTTCATTATTTTTGTTTTTTGAGAGACTTGGGTTGTTCAAAAGAATGACTTTAAGATACATATTAAAAGTTGAGAGCCAACTTTTAGCCCATGCATTTGCTACAATACTAGATGATGTAGAAATTCTGAGGCTTCAGGAAATGCTAATTAAGATCTCATTTAGGAAAATATGCATATTATTTGATATGAACATGATAATTTAGATCGCCTTTTCTGTGTTGTGATCTGTGTAGAAAAAATAATTTATGGGCAGGAGAAAATTAATTTCATTTGATTTCTTTTTCATTTAAGATTTAATACTTTTAATATGACTATCCTCTCACTGAATACTTCAATTTTCTCTTTAAATTACAGCTTTATATCTTCAAGAAAGTGCCTGGGATGTACTAAATTTTGAAGTGGTTATTCAGGTTAATAAGGGTTATTTTAGATCTCTTATTTTTTATTTTTTAGTATTTTCTCGACTATCCATTTGACTATATGACTTGATAAAGATGATATACATTTAAATCTTACTGCTCCCCTGAACATATCAAAGTGGCACAGATGAGAACAGGCTGCTTCTTCTTCTCATACAATCTTCTTGTGAGATGCTTAGGTTGAGATTCAGCACTGCACAAAGTCACTCACTGACCTCTGTATAACTAGTAAGAATTTGAAACTGTTCAGTGCCCTAACTGTCATGCCACAGAAGTTAAATGTAACTATTAATAACGTGCAAAATCATATTAAAATAATTATTTTAAAGCCAGTTTAAAATATGTCTTAAGTATTTTAAGCCATTTCTTATTTTCTAAAACCTAATGAGGACCCATCAGTATAGACCAGACATGTCAAACTCGCGACATCACGTGCTGTCGTGCAACATATTGGAGCTTTTTCGCCATTGCCAGCAATGGGGTGGCCATGGTTTCCCGATGATGCATCCGGCCCATGGGCCGCCAGTTTGACACCCCTGGTATAGACCATGAGAGTACTTAAGTTCAAAATATGGAAGCATTTTGGTCTTAGTAACATCAACATGATTTCATCTTAGGTACACTGAATAATCCTAGAGGAATAAATGCCACATAATTATCCTTGAGGTAAGATGATGGCCTATAAATTTAATAAACAAACAAATAAATAAATAAAATAATTAAAACGGTTTTTGTAGACTAAATTCAGGAATTCCACTCATAACATATGTTGGAGTTGAGGGTCTCAATGGCTTTTGTTTCAGATTAGCAGTCTGATTTTTTATTTAATGTAATCTAAATATTTTATTTGTATTAAAGATTATGGCTTGTAAAGAGACATCCTTTCAAACAAGAGCCAATCATGATTTTATGAATTAATGACCCAGCCAGTTAAGTTACATGTGTTTGTTCCCCTTCTTAACATAAAGTTGGAAAATCAGTAAGATACTCCATGGTTGGGAGATGTTGTTGAATCCTTAGGTAATTTAACTTCCTGCTACCTACAGAAATTTGAAACAGTTTCATAATGAGGTCTTTGTCAACTTCACTTGGGGATGTCATAGATTCACCCTGCTATATTTTCCATCAAAGCCTTTGGGGCCTTTTAGGATATTAGATAATTTCTCGAACTCGTCTGAAAGTACATATATATCTACCATTTATTCTTGAATATGTTCTGTTTTTCATTTGAAATCTGCAAAGGGGAGATGGGGAAGGAGCAGGATATGTTCTGGTTTCCATAGGGGGATTTTACTTTACTCTTAAGTTCCTAATATATCCTAATAAAGTATGAAAGTGTGTATGTGTTTGTTTGTGTAATTAATATATGATGAACAAATTGCACTAAAAATAATAATTGTCAAAAATGAACCATGACTGCGCAACCGATCCTGAGCGCCCTCTAGTGTTATATAATGGCAGTTGAAATATTCCTTTTTTGGAGCAATGAGATCAAGTTATTTTATGATTTTATTTATGTATTTGTTGTTGGGGTAGAGTTGAGGTGTTTCAGTAGAGACATTTGATTGTGTCTCCCTATAAATCATAATGAAGGAAGTAGCGAAAGAAATCCACATTACATTCCAATGCACTAAGAAGCAGTGAAATGTAAATATAGCTTTTATTTTATGGGTCAAGTGTACAGTCTATACAACCAAAGGCTCTCTAAGTTTCTAAAATGCTGTTTCTGTCATGCAAATGGGAATGATTTTTCCATATGTAGCAGTTATTTTCCATCTTGTTCAGAAAGCTACACATAACAGTGGAGGGAAGGTTAAATGACATGAAAATAATATTCTGTCTATTAGCAGAGTGGCATTTTGTCTCCTTAATAAAATTGAGATACCTTCCCATATAATCTAATCAATTGCATGATCCTTATCTTTGAGCAAAAAGATGCAGACGGTGAATACATTTGTATCTAGTCTGGTTTGTGTAACCTTATCACAGCTGTTTGCCTCATTGGGGATGTTCTGCATTCTTGGTGGGTTAACTCAGTCAGTTCACTTCTTATGGACCTGAAAACAGGAAATTGTCTGCCATGCATGCAGAAGCTTTCAGTATATTTTAGTGGCATTGCCTTGTGTGCTCCAGTAAATGCTTTGGTGTATGGTATGCATATGACAAAGCATTTAATATGCTGTTATTGTGGCATTACAGAACAAACAGAGCTAAAATAATCTATCAGTTAATGGTCTGTATGGCAGTTAGAACGTAGCACATTCATTGTGCTTATGTTCTTAGAAGGATGAGTTTATATCTAAAGAGTGTTGCTGACATAAATACATTTCTTTTAAAAATGCAGCTTCAGCAAGATTCTGTCTATAGAAATATCTACAATGGTTTTGTGCTAGATCTCAAAAAGAGTGAAATTTTCAAAGATTCCACCCTCCCTCCTAAAACCCAGACTTCAAGGAAGCATTTGTTTGTCTGTTGCCAAATGTTTTTCTAAGGTCAGCAGCAATGTTTCACATTTTATGTGTGAAAATAATACTGTAGCAGTGGCAAAGAAGATGTAGAGAGCTACGTTTTACAATGAAAAAGAAGCTTTTTTATGTTGCACTTAGAAAGAATACTAAAAACCAAAGGTAGATGTACTCTTTTTAAAAAAAAAGACTCTGAAAAAAAGCTTCATCAGAGCAGCAATCAGGTTCAAAAATCTAATGTATGCATGTTTTTCTTCCCCAGGCAATAAAAAACCCGATTATGTTAATTTCTATCAAGGTTTATGGGACTGCACTGGGGATGTTCCTGATGAGCTGTCATTCAAACGTGGTGATGTTATCTACATTCTCAGTAAGGTACCGTATTCCACCCCTAAAAGATAGGTATGGGGAGATAGTTGAAATAAGACCAAAGGAGAAAAAAAAGCAAACTTCAAGGTCGTCAGGAAATGGGCATTTCCTTTGCATCTTTCACACTTGGTGAGAAGTTCCTTGCACATTAATTATTTTGTCAATTTAATGTAACCACATTTGAAGTTTTATTGTGCAACAGGAATTGTCTTTAAAACTTATTTATCTCTGTTTGGAATCTTGGTTACCCACCACTAAGTAACTTCCCGCTGAGACAATGCTCTTATTGCTTGTAAAATGTAGCTTTGTCAATATAGTATGAAGTGGATGTGAATGTATATGTTTTACTTCCTTTTCTTTGGTACTTCTTGTATATGCTGATGAGAGAGAGAGGGGGGGGGTGGAGGGAGGGAGGGAGAGAGGGAGGGAGGGAGGGAAGGGAGGGAGGGAAGGGAGAGAGAGATCCGTATAAGACTAAAAACCTCACATTATTTTATTGTGAAGAAAGATTTTATAGCGACTTTATCTGGGAGTTGGCTGCTGCCTCGAACTACTCAGTAGCACTACACCTTTCAGATAAGTTTGCATGGAAAAGTGGCTGGGTCATTTTCCCACAGCCCCCCCCCCCTTTTTTTTAGCCACAATGTGCAAATCTTTGCAAAACTTTTTTAAATCGCTACCATACCAAAGCCAGAGGTTACTCCTGACATCAGAGTTTTCATCCAATACGTTCCTAAGAATGTCAGTAGTTTCTAGGCTAATATTTTTATAATATTCTCTGAGCCATGCCTTCATAATAGTAAAGTGCAGAATGTTTCCCATTCGAGCTAAGAATAGCTAGACGTGATCGAAGAAGATGTAGTCTTACTAATGATAATCTGACAATGAATTTGTTCTGTTTGTTGTAAATCTAACAACTAAGTAACTCATGTGTTCTACTAACCTTATGGTTAGTAGGGTTGTTTATCAGATCTGCCCTCCTGACAGTCCTTGGATGAAAAATATTTTAATCTCATATGACAGATGGAAACAGAGTATGTTACTAATAGAAGAAGAGTTTGATGCAACATTATTTACATGTAGATCATGCTTTACCTCCTCCTTTTGCATTATTTAATTTGGTAGGTGGTGGCTAGACATAGAGCAAGACAGAGCAATCTTCCTATCAATCTTCCTATTTGATATTTAAGAAGAAGCCCCTTTGAACAAAATGAGTGGGTTTATTTTTAAGAAACAGTACATTGGATTATATTTAATGTTTAGCATTCAAGAATTGTCACTTAATTGAGTATAAACTAAAGGCTAATCCAATTTAGAATATAAAACATAGAATAATAGGTTTGGAAGGGACCTTGGAAGTGTTCTAGTCCAACCCTCTGCTCACGCAGGAGATCCTATACCATTCTGGGCAAATAGCTGTCTAGTCTCTTTGTAAAAACCTCCAGTGAAAACCTCCAGTGATGGAGCACCCACAAGTTCTGGAGGTAAGCCATTCCATTGATTAATTGTTCTCACTGACAGGAAATTTCTCCTTAGTTCTAGTTTGGATTTCTCTTTAATGATCTTCCACTTGTTATTTCTTACTTCCCTTGGGTGGCTTGGAAAATAGGCTGGGCCCTTCTTCTCTGTGACAATCTCTCAAGTACTGGAGGACTGCTATCATATCACCCCTGGTCCCTCTCTTCATTAGATTAGATTAGTCTCTCAATCGTTCATCATACCATTTTGTCTCTAGACATCTTTTCATCTTTGTTGCTTTTTTTGCACTCTTTCTAGGATTTCAACAACTTTTTTGTATTGTGATGACCAGAACTGGATGCAGGTATTCCAAGTGTAGTTTAACTAGTACAATCTAAAGTGGTATTATCACTTCACATGATCTTGAAACTATTCCTCTGTTAATGTAGTCCAAGACAGCATTAGCTTTTTCAGCAAGTGCAATCTACTGCTAGTTTATACTTAAATGGTGGTCTTCTAGGATACCTACATCCTCTCACAGTTACTACTGTTAAGCCAGGTACCACCTATTCTATACCTGTGCATTTGGTTTCTCTTGCCTATGTGTAGAAGCTTACTTTTCTCACTCATTGCATTTGTTGGACAGGGCCCAGTGTTCAAATCTGTCAAGATCCTTCTGAGTCTTGGGTCTATCTTGAGTCTAACACTTTAGGTGTTAGCTATCCCCCCCCCCCAAAGCTTAGTGTTGTCTGCAAATTTAACAAGTTCCCCTCTATCCCCTCATTTAGATCATTTATGAAGAAGTTCAAGAGCGTTAGCTTCAAGAGAGAGCCTTGAATTCCACTCCACGTAAATCTAGTTCCATTGAGGATTACATGCTGAGTATAGTTGGTTAGCCAATTGCAAATCTATCTGGTGATGATACTGTCTATCCCACATTTTTCTGTCTTACCAAGAAGTAGGCTATGGTCTACTTTGTTGAATGCTTTACTGGAGTCTAAGTAAACTATGTCCATAGCATTTCTCTTATCCACTAATTTAGTCATTTTATCAAAGAAGGCAATAAGGTTTGGCTGGCAAGATTTATTTTTGACAAATGCTGGTGTCTAGTAATACCTTGTTTGTTTCTTGTAACTAACTTGTAGGTTTCTTCTACTAAGTAATTTTTAGAGTTCTTGTAATTAAGCTCCTAGATTTTTTAAAAGTACTTTTATACCATTTTTAATAGTAAGATTCATTGTTATTTAACTCAGGATTGAAAGGGTTCCATTATAAAAGGGAATATTAGTTGGAGTTCCCTTGTCCTCTAACCTGTCTAATCCTTTGTTAAATGTATTTGGAATCTTTGGCTTTTGATTGAGATCTTGCAGCTTGGCTATATTTTGAGTTACTTAATTTTTAAAACTGAAAAGAAATTTAAATCAAAATTCAACTTGTTTTTTCAGTTTGAGTATTGCTGGTGTAAATACTTCAGCAGTCTTCTATCAGCTCTGAATTTAGGAAACAAAAAGGCACAGGATAATAATTTATCCAGTTCTGAGAGTTATTAGCCAGAGAAAGAATTTAAGAGTACTGCTAAAGTAAAATAATCTAAAGCCTTTGAAGCTTAAGAACTTGATCAAACATTTCTTAAAGCTGTCAATATTTCTTAAGACTATAAAAAGCTTTAGCTTTTTGGCACCTGGTGATTCTTGTTTTTGGGTTTTTTTAAGAAAAATAATTCTTTACCCCATCTAGTGGTTGAAAATTAGAGGTGCACTGTTATAGTGTGGTGCTCAAAAGTGGTGACAGAAATTTAACTTCGACTTCATCTTAGTTATTACTTATTATCCCCTCGTCATATATCAGACCCTTATTGACATTAATTCTGATAAAATCTTATTCCCATGAGAAAGAATTTAATGTAGGCATTATGTGCTGTAGGAAGAATATAATATAAATTAAAAGATAAAACAGGAACAAAATACTATTTCAACAGAAAAGAGTTAACAAAAGGAATAAAAATATATTTAAGGCATTTGTTACCACGTAGAAAATTTTGCCAAAGTGCTAATGGGTTTGGGCATCTTTACTGGCAAATTTATCTTGTTCCAACTTACTCTAATATTGATGATAATTGTACTTTGATGATAAAAAATACAAAATCTTGGATAAGTTTAAAAAAATACCATATACTGTTTGTAAGCAAGCTTAATTTACAGCTTCATTTATAAATCTGAATACCCACTGCAAATAGTATAGAATTTATATTTTAAATTTTGCAATATTGCACACTAAAGTTTTTGTATAGTAATTGGATTCCTGAAGATTTGAAAAATTCAGTGGTTACTGTTCTTTTAAATTTTTCATTTTATTATATTTTTTGTATGTTCATTGCTGAAAAAAATCCATAATGTAGTCTAAATTAATTATAATAGTGATTATAATCAGAAAGTATTTTTGTTAAAACTTTGTTTCTGTGATTATTTTCTCTTGATTTTTATGCAGATATCAACTTCAAATAATTCCATAATTCTTTACTTAAACATCCACATTTTTCAATTCATAGAGGAAAGCAGCTAAAGTAATTTTGCAGAAACAAGGAGCCAGAATTCATTTTTAAAACATAACAATTGAAATCAATATTTTGGTGTTAAAATAAAACTACAGGGGGAAACCCATGTCATGATTTTAGTGATTCTAGGAATTTTTGTTAACAATTGGATGAATGATATGTGTTACACTTCTTTAAAAGCAAATGCACCTGAAACTGAAAAAGCTGATTTAACACTTAATATCCTACTGTTTCCATTTCACAAACAGTGTAGACATAATTTTCAATATAAATGTACATATTATCAAGATTTCCAGTGCTTTTATTATGAGCACCTTATAAGGTAAGAAAGTTGAAAATTACTCTGTGAAGGTCAAAATGATTTTAATTTGTAAATTTGAGCAATTCATGTGCCTGGAACATACAATTATAAGGCAACATGGCTGGTATTTTTATTCTTTTTATTAATAACAGAAATTGGGGTTTGGACATGTGTTTCATATGATCAGTTACTCTATGGGTCATCATTTGCACATTTACTTTAAGAGTAATAATATTTAATAAGAGTGCAACTTCCATGACTCAAGATAATATGGCTACCTGTAGAGTTTTGACATATAATATGGTATTGTTTTTTAGTAGAAGAATTTGATTTTGGTCAAGATTAGCTCTGAGAAAAACCAAAATAAATCTGCTATCTTCAATTTTGCCTAACAAAATCATAGAAATCTATTAAAATAATCTATAGAACAAAACCTTGGTTTTCATTTTTTAAATGCAGATGCAACGTGGCCTTTTTATTCTGGACTGTATCTGAAGCATATATTGAAATTGCTTTTTGAAAAAGTGTGCAGTAATTTACTAGAAATCATGATCATGTATTTTTGTTTCCAGTTACAGTAAACTGCTTGCCAATTTCAAACAATCCCCCACAGATCCATATTTCTGTGAGACTTTGCTGTTCCAGCATACTCAGTAAATTTGTGCATCTGGATTATAGGACTTTTAGTTCATATCTGAAGCATTTAAAAATACCATAATCAGCACCGAATCCAAAATTTGCAGTTAGTCTGAATTTAGATCGCTTCACACAGAGCTTTCCAATAGCAAGTGGGCTGCCTTTTCTTGAATCTGTGGTCATACAGTATTCCAATGCTAAACATTCATTAAGGATTTTTGTGCTTGTCATACTCATTTAGTTTGCCATATATTTTTAAAAATTATATGAAAGTTTTCATGTCCTAGTATGAGGTTAAATCAAGTAATTGTTATGAATCACCTTGAATGCTGAAAGAAGGATATTTTGTGGAATCTGTTTCTTGGAAGTAAATCTAGTATTATGCAATTTAGGAATTGCAGCCTTTGTCAGTACCTATAATCAAATGGAAATCAGTGGAACTAATTTAAGAAAAATACTGAATGGAACTAAAGCTTCATGTAGTTAGATCTGACCCATTCATTCTGACATGCTGTTTCACCACACAAGTGCACACAAAATCACAAGTATGCAGTGCTTTTTTTCTTAAAAAAAAAATGGTGCCGGAACTCACACACGTCATACAACCCGCCTTGCCTACCCTACAAAGTTCCATCCCAAAAAAGTGCCGGAACTCCGTTCTGGGCGTTCTATGACAAAAAAAGCCCTGCAAGTATGTATTAAAGGCAGAGCACTCTCCATGGAAACATTTTTTACAGACAAAGAGGAGACTCTAACAGTACTTTGTTTGGTGTAGGACTTTTAATTACAAAAACGTTAGGATAATAACACTCTCAATTATTACAGTCCTGAAATTTGGATGCCTTCCATGATAATGATGATCATGATAGTGTGCGTGTGTGCATGCACACACGTGCATTTAAACGTCACTTTAGAGGACTCTCATAGATTTATTTTGGATTAGGAAGTAGACCAATTGAAATAGATTAACAGTAGCAAAATTACATTATTTGAGTTTACTCTAAGTCAGAGAAATTTGAATCCACTTCTCCCAAATTTAAAAGCATTTTTCTTCCCTTTTCTTCCACTAGCCTTTTCTCACCTGCACATTTATTGTTAAGCAATTCATTATATAGGTCTTTAATTTCTTTCATGGTTACTTTCATGCAATAAAGCATTACAGTGCTTCTAGATCTTGATAGAATTTCTCCAGAAGGAGAAAGAAGCTTTGTGTTAGTAATTACCTAACATTGTTGGGAGCTGAAGGCAGGCCTCTTCCCAGTGATAACAGAATAGCCACATAATGCAGCTTCATAGTACATGATTAATAGAAAATAATTACACATCCTACAAAGGAATGCAATAATTCTTGTAAATTGACTAGAATGGTTTCTTGCAGATTAAAGGACTCTTCATTATTTTATCAGTCTGTTTGAAGCAGAATCAGTTGCCAAAGCTGCAAGAAAGAGCTGATGGGAAGAATACACAGTATATCTAGACGCATAGAAGAATTAAGGATACTAGGTTTATCTATATTTGAATAGAATATGAACAATTAGGTTGTATGTGATATTCATACTATATTTGTTATTCATTACAATTAAATATTTGACTTTGAGGCTGCCTGATATTTAAATTCAAGTCCCACCTTAAGCATTTTGTACTTTCATAAGCAATACTTCACGATCTCTTAAATAAATTTAGTGGACTTAAGGAGCACTAAAATAACATAGATTATTTTGACTCTGAACATTAAATTGTAGAAAATGATTACATATGAATCTTGTTGGTAATCTGATTTGTTCTTAATTGATTAATTGGTTTAATATTTTAGATAATAAATAATCTATGCCTGGCAATCTATAGAATAATATTGTAATTGAAATTACAGTAATACTTGGGTTTTCTTTAGAGATGACTGTTAAGTTCCATTCATTTATATTTGTGTGTGCATTCATACACAGAACTAGCATATGACTCTGAAGGTAGCTACTAGCCAAAAATCAGTTGCCTTTTATTGTTGCTGAAAGTAATGTATTTGTAAAGATGCTGTAAAAGCATGATCAAATTGTCTTGTAAGTACATACAAAAGTTACACATATTTTAAGAAAGGGGTGTAAACAAATTAACTAGTTAAAAATGGATGTCTCTGTAGTGATGGCAGTAACCTAAGACTAAAACATTACATTTCCAATATAGCAGTTCATTTTTTCTTTCCTGCTTATACTTCATATGCTTTAATTGGGATTCAGATTGCTTGTGGGGTTCATATCAAGAATAGTAATGATAAAGTAAGATTTCAGTGTCTGAAGCCTATCTATAAATTAACTTCTGATACTATTACACTTCCATTGCCATAATATTTTAAATCAGACATGTGCATTAAATTTAAATATTCTTAAATGGCAAGATGTTTTTTTTGGGGGGGGGGGGAGGAGCGAAAGTTTATTATTTTAATTTGTGGCTCCTGAGGTTCGTCCTCCTATCACCCTCAGAATATATTGTTTCTAACTTCCTGAAATATCTACATGGAATATTTTCATTCTGTCATAAAAAGCTTTAATGATCCCTTAAGTAAAAAACAAAGCATTCTACAAAACATTGTGTTTGTTCTCTGCCCTGTTCTCCAGCCCACATTTACAAAAAAAAAAGTTATTTTGGAAAGCTTCCTTGGCAAGATTCCTCTAACACAGGTGAGGATTGGCATTATGAGTGATTACTTGCATTTTAAATCTCTAGAGACTGTAGCTTGTGTATTTAAGCAGGCTAATGTGGAATGAAACGTGTTTATTAAACAAACACACACAGCTGGAACATCTGAACCCCCTGGTGAGACAGCAAGTGCCTCTTGCCTTTAAGGGTTTTGGCCCCAGAATAATCAGCCCAGCAAGAGTCATTCTTACTGTAAGCATGTAAGCAAACTTGCTTGCTGAATTGCACTGGTTCATGAACTAGCGTCATTTATAGCCATGGGGGAATAAAGACGTTAAAAAGTTTTTCTTTGGAGCTCCTCTTCTATCCTGATGGCAAATGAGGTAAAAGCAGAACTTGGAGATGTGGTTTATTGTTGTGCCCTTTGGTTAAATGAGGGTATTGGCTTTTAATACCTCAACTTTATAGGAGTCTTAACTTTCCCCACTACATAGAATTGTCCTCATTATCAAAACTAAAACAAAAATCTCTGGTACTTTATGTTACAGCATAATCTGGAGAAATCTTCTCCTAAGTGTTCCTGCCAAATTAGAAATTAAGGTGGACGTGAGATGAGAGGAGTTAGATGAGAGGAGGTAGAGAGGGACAGCCTCAGGAAGAAAGGCAAATTTGAGGTTATGAACAACGGGGTTAATGGATAGGAGTAGATAGGAAACAAATGTGAACTGAAGATAGCAGGGGATAGAAAGCATATATGGGCTGTTAATAGATTAGGGTTAATAGATCTGGCACAAGTTAATCAGATCATTTGAAGAAAGCCCTGGAAGGGATGGAAGTAATTTTGGTACCTTGCTGTTTCTATTCCCTTAAATGCTATGGAAGGATAGGTGAATTTGCATCCCATATAATGCCCAAATTCCATCAGAACACATTAATGCTTAATTTCAGGTAAAAACAGACTGGCAAACACAACCCACTGCAGCAGAATGCTCTTTAGGTCTTTTTTATTTTCCTTCACTTTTTTATATAGTTTACTGTCAGTCTGTCTTTTGAACAAGGAATCTGTTTTCTTCTGTTTCTTTTGGCACATACTTTACTGGAATTCATTTTCAGTTGCTGAAAGTTATTGAGCTCCTGTTAGGATTAATCATAACAATATTTACCTTCCAGGGACAAAAACAATTACATTTGGATCTCTGTTATTTGGTATTGCTTTTGGAAAAGATTGTTTCCTTAAACTTTCATATACTTGGTTTGGTTTGGATTCATATTGCTATGCCTAAACAAAATTCAAAGCAAAATGCATTTAGTCATTTGTCAGGCATATAAGATCTGTGATAAAATTTTATGGCAGGAAGCATTGGTTAACACAGAGCAGGGGTAATGATATGCAATTATTTTATATGAATTTAACAAAAAAATAACATATGATCTTTTTCAACTTTGTTAAACTATTTCTGAGTTGGTACCAGTGGATATACATTTTTATGAAATATTGTATGTTTGTGTGTCTAGCGTGTATTTACAGTAATACAGAATTATGTTTTTATTAGTGAAATCAAAACAGAATAGAGACAAATAAAGATGAGTCCAGTTTGAACACTTCTGAAAAATGCCTCAATAATGTGCACGTTTTTTAAATTAAAAAGTAGCATTATAAGGAAGACTGCACCAGTTACCTACAACTGGGAAAATATTTCCAATTGAACGTGTTTAGAGATCCAGGGTTTATCTTCCTTTTTTGTTTAAAAAGTGTTTATTACCATATCAAGAAATACAAACAAAACACATATGATATAATCACATTCTTGTCTCATTGAGTATATATGGCTTGCAGGATCCATAGATAAGTAAGTAGCTTTTTTAAAAAATCTTTTTTCAGACATAGAAACAGATGCCTAGCCATTTAAAGAGTAATTTCCTGTCTTGGCCCTAACTGCATTTCAAGTGCTTGAGAAAGTCATGCGTACAACATTCATACGCTCTTCCTTAACATTTTAATTTTCCATTCATGCTCTTATAACTGTACATAAGGAGGAAACTTGAATCATATGCAAAACTCTTGTTGCATTCATATCAGACTAAAGGTTAATACTGCATATTGTTTTCAATTAGGAGTACAATAGATTTGGCTGGTGGGTAGGAGAAATGAAAGGAACCATTGGCTTGGTGCCTAAAGCCTACATAATGGAGATGTATGATATTTGAGAGGCAAGAGTAAGTACATTTTAATTCAATTTTCTGTAATGGTTTATATGTTCTTTTACTCTGTTTTATATGTTTCTTTTCCTGGAATCTTTAACGTCTTTCTTGGGATGGGAGGAGAAAAAAGATCTGTAATTTTTATATCATATAAAATACTGTGTTTCTAGGAATAGCAAAAATGTTCTCCAATATCCTGTGTGCTCTATATCACACCAATATTTGACCTTCATTTTATTAATTATATTTAAAGAGTCCCAGGAACAGACTATTTAGAACACTGAAACAGGACATGTAAGCAATTTTATTTTTCAAAATGGTCCCAGCTCTTTTCTCTCTTCATAGTGTAAATGTAGAGATTAGAAAAGGTAAGCATACTCCTTTTCCTCATTTTTTCATACAGACCAGTGCTTTTTTTGTAAAAAAAAAATAAAAATGGTGCCGGAACTCACACATGTCATACAACCCACCTTGCCTACTCTACAAGGTTTCATCCAAAAAAGATGCCGGAACTCCGTTCTGGGCGTTCTATGACAAAAAAAAGCCCTGATACAGACTATTGTCTTTTTAAAACAACAAGAATAATACCAAAACAAACTGTTGTTGTTGTTGTTGTTATGATTAATAAATGATTCTGCAGTGGCAAAGGAAAAGGTGGGCGTGTGATATTAGAATCCTGGTCATTTGTGGTATTCTCTAGCCATGTTATGCTTGCAAACTACCTTTGACTGAATAGTTATTATTAATGGGGCTTCAAGAAAAATCACGTGGTTCAAATGTTATATCTGCCTGGATCCTAAAACTTGTCTTATTACAAAATTTGAACATGGTTCACAAGTCTTTTTAAAAAACCTTTCATTGTGAAAGATTTAAATTCAAAATATTTCATATACCACAACCTATTTTCATGTTGTCCAGGCTATCCTCAAATTTGGCTCTGTTTAGCAGCTTCTTTTCCTATAGATATGTTTTGCATTTAGCTGTTTTAATAGCGATAACCCATATGTGCCTAATATTAGGGCTGTGCAATTCTCCAGATACAAAAATGTGTTTTGGAGCCTGTGAGATGTTCTTATAGGACTTCCAAGCAGCAGCCTAAAGCGGCTGCATTTTTTCTAAGAATGTAGGAGCTTTCAACAGCTGCATCCTTGCAAAAGAGAGATGCTGCAGACAGACAGGTGTTAACAAGTCCATATCTGTGTGTTCCAAAGATTTTTTTTTAATCTAGCCCTCTTCAGTACAAATGCCAGCTCTGTTGAAGTTATAATTGTACTCCTGTTCACCCAAATTTCTTATCCTACCAATGATCTAAATAGGTTCCAGACCATGTGGACAAAGGTGGTGGTGGTGCCACATACTGTTTTCAAGGATTTGTTTACATAAACAGATGTTCTAAAATTAATTTAAGAAACATTCTTGTTTCAGTTCATAGACTCTTCTCCCCTTCCCCATTTTTTTAAAAAAATTGAAATTGCAAGCTGAGAAGAATTAAGTACCAGTCTTTCTTGTTCACTTTTCCAGTCTTCATTTAGTTTAGACACAGGACGCATTGCTTAATTATGAAAATAAAGCTAATCAATTGAAATCTTGTAAAGATGTTGTTCTACATTAATAGGATAAGATTCAGTCATTTGTCACATGAAGTTGTTACATTATGTTGTGGCTCTACTGTCCACCAAAGCAAGAGACTGAGGGGTTTTCTATTCTGATTAATTACTGGGGAAAATGAGCAGAACGTCTGCGTGGTTAGGGCATAGAGTGTTACTATTTGATTAAAAATGAGAATATATAGGGCTTGTAGGGTGCATTAAACACATCTCCTGTTATTGCCTTATAATTTGTGAACTGCAGGTAACCAAGACTAAGGATATTCTGTAGTTATTTTTATTGATAAGGGAGGTGTTTTTTTATTTTTTTGTATTAATCAAAGAAGGAAACAGGCCTCTAGTTTGTGCATTTTTTGTAAATCTGTTTTCTAAACTGTATTAAAGCTATAGATTAGGGACATTCACATTAATTGTGGTGGGGTAGAAATGTAACAAATAAAGAAATTTCCAGTGTGTATCCTGAAATGTAGTTTCTCCATGTAGTGGAGGATCATATTCCAAAACTATTTAGAGGCCCTTAGGTTGAGAAAACATGGAGTGGAGAATTTCTTATGGTTTAAACATGTAGCTACTTTTTCATATTGGTAACAAGATTTTCCTCTTGTTTCCAGCCAGGCTGATTCTGCAAACTGGAAGCCAACTAATGGAGGTTGTAAAGAAGCTATAGAGATCTACAAGAAATGAAAGACTGGGAAGATACATTTTTACTTTTGTTTTTACTATTTGCTTTGACACTCTTTATTGTGGTATACAGTTATTTAGGGTTGTATTTATTACTCACTTGGTAAATGAGCATAACCTGATTATATGCACTTGAAATTTAATGGAAGAGAACTGCAATAAATTTTTGATGATCAGCCTAATTAATTTCAATATGTGCAACACAGAAGATCTTTGCAAGATTTTATGCCTCTACTTGACATAGTGATACATGGCAATGGATCTTTCCTGTAAACATTGCTATGACCTGCTTTTTCTTAACTGAAAAGGAAAAGCCTTTTCCTTCATTTGCATTTTAATCTTAAACATTTAAATCACACGTGCGCGCGCGCACACACACACACACACACACACACATGATGTGACACTGTGATAGCATATTGAAATATATATCTATTTTTAATATATTTGAAGGAGGTGTACATTACACATTATAGTATCAGTTCATACATATTCTTAGGTACACATTTTTTTTCTTAGCAGAACTTTTAGGAATATAAGTGCTTCTTCCAAAAACTTGTTTGAATACTAACTTTGCTTGATTAGTGGCTACTTCTACATAGCTCTTTTGCTTCAATTGCTTCACAGCTTTCTTCTTAGCTCATCATATGGAATGATCAACAATAATAGAAATTATATTAGGCTGCTAAAGTAATTAATGTATTTGATAAGTCCAGTATAAAATGCTAAGCAAAATCCATCTCTTGGGTTTATTCTGTTTATTCTAAAATTCTTCATTCCCCCCCCCCCTATATATAGACTGAGAGTTATGTTGATCCACAAACCCTTGCAGTGGTCCAAACTGCTTTTGTTTGCTTATAATAACAAATTATGAAATAGGAAAATTGTTATTTGGGTGACTTGTATTTGTATTCTCTTTCCATATTTTGGCTGTCTCCTGGGATCACCTCCATCTGTATGCTCAAGTTCTGCAGGTATCATGTTCTTAATCTCTTTTCCAGATTGACATAGGCAGCATTTTGATTAAGTCTGACTAACTTAAAATATCTCTCTGAAGTTCTATTGTACTATTTCATCTCCATCTCTCAAAAGAACAGAACCAAGAAGGGTTCAGTGTTAAGACTTTTTATTTGGGGGGGGGGGGGCAGAGGCCATAAATTTCAGAAAAAAATATGTATTGAGATCATAACTCAATGTTATTTTATATATTTCCTGTTTCTAAATTAATGGTGGCCAAAGATCAAGATTAGACCGAATTCTTCTAAAATTAATATAGCTCAAAATATAAAATGCTCATAAGTTGAAAAATTAAGTTGTTTTAAAAGGATTCTATTCTATCTTTCTAGTTATCTTTTACTATGCATACATGCAAATAGTTTATCAAATAATGAAGCTATTAATTTTCTGCATATAATTCCATAAATATTTTTTTTAAAAAACTAAAAACTTTACTCACAGAAAGCTAATATAAGAAGAAGAAGGTTAATTGGCGGATTGTGATTTTATATGAACTTACAAGGAAATAAATCTTGTCTGCTTTTGAAGAAACATGTAAAAGGTCTCACCATTAAGTCTGTATCCAATTCATCGCAGAGAAGGGTTCAAACAAATCTCCGTCATTGCTTTCTAAAGTGGTATAATCCAGGAGCAGTTTTAGTATGTGATTAATGATTTTTGGTATGCATTAAGGCATAAAAGCCTCTTTCAATTGCAATATTTATCTCATGTTTTATTGTTTTGGGTTTTTTTTACAAATTCCATTGAAGACTATTGGCTAGGCTATTATTTTAAGAACATTCATTGGTGAATGAAGAATTTTTTAGAAGGATTAATCATTCTTCAGTTTTATGAATATAACCTGACATGCCTGAGATGCAATGATAGTTGACAAATAAGGAATTATATCACTATTCCAAAACGCTGTTAATGCTAGAAATAATGCCAATCTAAGAGTCTTATGTAGTACCAATGTTTGCCAGAAGATGGCAGTAGACTTTCACGGCACATGCTGGTGAAAAACCCATCCCCCAGCCACTTTTTTTGGTGTTCAAATGATTTTTTTGCAACTTAAAATATCTGGAGAATTTCTTTCCCTTTTTCATGTTAATCCAGGAGAGGGAGTCCTTAGCCAACTGATCAATGACAAACCCTATTGATTGGATGATGTAGGCAGCAGTGATTTTATTGTTCTCTTAACCTTTCTTTCATGTACTAGCAAACACACCATTCACAGTGCAGACATTTCAAAGGTACTATATTCATACCTTTTAACTAGACATACTTTAATCTAAACCAGTAAAAATAAAAGGATGGGCATATTTGTTTATGAAGGCTGGACAAATGCCATAATCTAGGAGAAGGGAGAAGAGGGGCTGAAAAAAACAACCCCATTAATGCGATCCATTTGGCAATATATGCTAATTGGTTTGTTCTCATTATTTACTTATATTTCCTTGTGTTACTTTGCAAACAAGTTATTTTGTAAGTCATATTTTGTGTAATATCTTGCTTATTTGCTCTGTACTATATTTGTACTATACTGCCATTAGATCCTAGAATAACATTCCATGCTGCAAATTTTTAAGGTTCAAATAAAGTTTAATTGTTTGCAAACTGTTATGATGCTAATAATTCAATAGCCTGCTGGGTTACTAATGAAATTACTTTGTTATGATTAATTTGGAAAATAGTGTGTTGATTGTAGTAATTAAACACAACAAGGTGAAGTAAATGATTCTAATGCCATCTGGCCTCCGGAATGAATAAGAAATGAAATGGACCTGTCATCTGAATTTATTCAGAGACGTAAGGGTAACACAGATGCTTTCCTGTGCAGAGATGCCAGGATGTACTCATGTTAGCTTATACACTTCATACACATATACATATGGTTATTCATTTGATTGTGTGGTTTATGTCCCAATTCCTTTCTTCTATAGTAGCCATCCATGGCCCCAGAGCACTCATGGAGTGAGAGCACGTCTGCAAGAGGCAACAGGTTGGGAATTATGTTCATAACATCTGCATTTCCAGTTGCTAAGAATTGGTTTTCAGGCAAATCATGAGATATGCATTTGTTAGCAGGTATCATATTTATTAATGCTTGGAATTGAAAATATTCTTGTAATTGGCTTATAAAGCAACATTAGGACACTATTTATAATGATAAACCAGTGGGATAAACACAATATAATATCATGCTTGTGCAGTATGTACACTCAAGCAGAAAGCCAAAAGAGATTAAAGAGATGGCTTCAGCCATAAGAAGGTTAGTAAAGATTATTTTTGAGGACGGACTGGTATTGGGATAAAGGAAAGTAGAACAGCTCAGCACAATTCAGTGCCCAAGAATTCTTATCCTGTCACATTTACACTCTTCAAAGGAAACATGTCCCATCAAACATGTTGGGATAATTTAAACAGGTACAGGTAATCCTTGACTTACAACTTCATTTAGTGACCATTTGAAGTTACAACCACATTGAAAAAAGGGATTTACAACCTTTCCCCGCACTTAGTATCCCCATAGTCATGTAATCAAAATTCAGTGGATTGGCGACTGACATGTATTTATGATGATTGCAGCATTCTAGGATGAAGTGATTGCCATTTGTGGGCTTCTGACAGTGGTAGAATCTGGATTCACTTAACAATTATATGATTCACTTAACAACTACAGCAATTTGCTTAACAACCATGGCAAAAAAGTCTTAACATCTGGCACAACTCCCTTAACAACTGTCTTACTTAGCAACAAAATGTTTGCTCCTGTTTGTTGTAAATCAAATTACTGTAGTAGCTCTAATGAATCTGTTTATAAACTTGGGAGGGGATTGATTCCCACTAAATTTGGATGGAATTTATCTCCACAGTTAAAATCCATAGGATCAGACACTTTCTGAGAGATTTAAAATAAGAACCCTTTTCCTTTAAAAAAAAAAAAGGAAAAAAAATGGATCCAGGGAACTGCAGACCTATCTACCTGACATCAATACCTGGAAAGATTATCCCAAAGATGTTTTTTCACAAGACAACTGGGCTTTCTTGAAGAAAGATCATTTGTATTGTGAAAAAGCACCTTTGGGATAACTATGACCTAGATGACTGAGAATCTCCATAGACACTTGGAAAGATTCTAGAAAAGATAATCAAGCAATGAATCTACAAACAAAATCATAACCAGAAGCCAATATGGGCTTGTTATAAACAGATCTTGCCAGACAAATCTTATTACATTTTTTGACAAAGTGACAAAATTAGTGGACCAGAGAGATTGTGTACATATAATGTACTTAGACTTCAGTAAGGCATTTGATAAAGTTGACCACCACTACTATTTGATAGGAAAATATCAGTTAGATAGATCACCACCAGATGGATTTGTAACTGGCTGACCAACTGCATTCAACATGTAGTTCTTAGTGAAATTGCTTCTGCATGGAAGGAAGTATGCAGTGGGGTACCCCAAGGCTCTGTCTTAGGTCCAGTAATCTTCGATATCTTCATCAATGATTTAGATAAAGGGCTAGAAGGGGAACTCATCAAATTTGCAGATGACATCAAGCTGGCAGCCAATGGTCCAGAAAATATACAGAGGATCTTGACAGACTTGAACACTGGGCCCTATCCAACAAAATGCAATTCAATGTAGAGAAAAGTAAGGTTTTACATTTAGGGAAGAAAAACTAAATGCACACATATGGAGTAGTACTTGACTTAATAGTAGTAATTGTGAGTGGAATCTTGGAGTCCTAGTGGACAATCATTTAAATATGAGCCAACAGTGTGCTGCAGCTGCCAAAGAAGCCAATGCAGTCCTAGGCTGTATTAATAGAGGGATAGAATCAAGTACACCTGAAGTTTTAACACCACTTTATAATGCCTTGGTAAGACCACACCTGGTTGCCACAATATAAAAAAGATAGTGAGTCTCTAGAGCCGGGGTGTCAAACTGCCAGCCCGCGGGCCGGATGCATCATGCGGAAACTGCACCCACCCCAGCTCCGGCAAGGGGACAAAAGTCGCAATACGTTGCGACACGTCACGTGACGTGGCAAGTTTGACACCCCCACTCTAGAGAAGAGCAACAAAGATGATTAGGGAACTGGAGGATAAAACATACAAAGAAAGGTTGCAGGAATTGGGTATTCCAGTTTAATGAAAAGAAGGATTAGGGATAATATGACAGCAGTGCTCCAATATCCAAGGGGCTTCCACAAAGAAGAATTCTCCAAAGCACCTGAAGGCAGGACAAGAAGCAATGGATGGAAACTAATTAAGGAGAGAACTAATTTAGAACTCAGGAGAAATTTCCTGACAGTTAGAACAATTAACCAGTGGAACGACTTGCATCCAGATGTTGTGGGTGTTCCAACACTGTGGAGGCTTTTAGAAAGAAACTGGGCAACCATTTGTCTGAAATAGTATAGAGTTTTCTGCTTGAGCAGGGGGTTGGACTAGAAGACCTCAAAGGTCTCTTCCAACTCTGTTATTCTGTTAAGAGTTTTGTGCAGATAACAAGAAGTGGGCTGGTAAACTAGCAACTATGTGGGAAGCATTTCACATTGTTCCAAAAAGATAGACATTTCTCAGTCTTTGTTCCCCTGTTTTGGATGTTGGGGTGGGGAATAATGAAATTTTCATGGTCTTAGGGTCAAGGTTAGCAACCACACCACAGGATACCCATCCTGTTTCTGCATAGTCCAGAAAGGTGAAAATGTAAAAGTCCACAGAGAAAAAATTGTAGAGT